GATTTCGGGAACTAATTTTTTTTTTCTAATACTTCCTCATTTCCCACAGACAAAGATTATATATATATATAGTTCCCTCGCTCATTAAATAAGGCCTACTGGGTCGGCGAAAAAAGACAAGAACCGTGAGGATGTTTTTTTGTTTTCAAGTTGCCTCACTTTCAGCATGAATTGAAAGGAAACTTAACAATAAAAATATTATATTATGGTAAAACAGAACAACATACCGATTACCAATATCAAGATATGTATTTTATTAGGTAAGATGACGTACATTGGCGGGCATTATCGCTCGGTCATTTAAGAAAATTTTCGTTTGAGCATGTTTAAACGTTAAGCTGAAGCTAAAATGCTGCAATACAAACGAATTCATCGGCAGTGGATCCTCTGTCTGGCAAGTCAGATGGAATAACTACTCAAGAGATTGTGGATGAAAAATCCCGAAGTGAGGGAGCAAGTAGTGCTACGATTACAGATGCTGATCAGGATAAATCTGTTATTGATGTACAACAAATACATGTACTAGATGAGGTTGATACTGTTGTCCCGAATATAGCGGATCCAGCTACTTGGCCACTTATTCGAAATAGCAAAATAATTTATCATATAATAAGTAGTGGCCCACTGCAAACGGTCACAAAGTAACAACAATTACACAAAGTTATACATAACAATATGTGACACCCTGTTAGGGTGTTACACGGGTAAAGAGTCTGGACCCAATTTCAATAATTAACCTGCTATTTTAACATCTTATATACTTTAAGTATTAGGGAATGTGTAGTATAGATAGCAAAAATTAATCTGTACTTACCTAATGATGTAATTTTTTAAATAAAACTAATGTCACTCTATAGTTGGAACAAGAGCATCATAACGTAGCGTTAAACGTTTGATTACTGTGTTTGTTTGTTTTAAAATAATCGAATAATTGTTTTAAGAGCGTCCACTTATGACAAGCATGAAGATGATTGTTGATTGTGTTCTGCTTAGTCAAAAATTAAAAGAGATAGATCTCGGGAATCCCCGATTATAAAACACATTGTTTCTGTATGGTCGGAAAGTCGGGGATTCCCGAGAAATTAAACCGATTGAACACTACGTTCCATTCTAATGCTGCCAACTTAACAATCTACCTAAATTTAGGGAAAATTACAAGTAAGAAGGCCGGGTCGGCGAAAAAAACACAAGTAACTGATCTGTAGTATGTAGTAGTAATTGAATTGCAGTTAGGGGGCGCCGAAGAAATTTCGCCCAGGGCGCTACTAGTGCTAAAACCGGCACTGCGTATATGCTTATGAATATTGCGACGCTTTCTGATTATTTATCTTTTTTACCAGCAAAATTGTTAATCGAATCTCAATAATTTAATAACCAATATAGTAAATAACTTGAATTTAAATCGATCCATCAATCAATGTAAATTTTAGCTTTATTTATTATTATTTTTGCTATGATATATTTAAATATATTTTCTCTTTTTTATAAAATAAGATAAAGGAAACTAATCTGTATTATGAAACTCCTTAAATTATTCCTAATAAGGGAAAATTTGTAGGTTCTCAATAGATATTCTAGATCGGTTTACGTATTCGCTTAGCTTATTTAATACTGCTTAATATTTCTAAACAATAGTTTAGAAAGTTATTTCAGTATTTCATTTGAGGCATATATTTTTTTCTCTTACTTTTCCCTAGATCCAAATATGAGTTGTCAAAATTAAAGGTTTTCTTATGTCATATTATTCGTACGTTGCTGGATAGTAAGCTATATCTCAAGCACTAAGAACACGAGTCAAACGTGCTCAATTAAACTGACTATCGCTTGATGAAGGAGGCTTTCGATCCCAGTGCACGGGGACTCGAGTGAGTAATGGCTCAATTCTGAATACATCCAAAATCGATACGTTACTGCAATTCCAACATTTAGATAAAGATAAGGCGAGATATTCCGAACCGATTAATTGGTATATTACAAGTATTTTCTGATCTCGGTATGAGTTTTTATTATTATAAATTATTGTGTTCAATCAGTTCCATTGTTTGCACAATAAATATGAAAAACTTTGTAAATTATATAATCGGAATCGTGAACAAATCTTAGCAACTGAAAGTTTAAACTGCAAACAAGTTGATGCATGGAAATATTTGTTTTGTATTCCGGCCATTGATAAAGTACACAAAGAAAATATATTTCTCAAGAATTTTGTACCATATCCATTCATAATTTTTATCTATCTGAAGAACTTTTATCTATACTAATATTATAAAGAGAAATAAATTTCTTTTCGTTTTTTAATAAACTAATATTCAAAATTCTTTCATCAATATAAAGGTGTATCTGAACGAGTCGGTCACACGCCCGAAAGATTGCGTACATACGATATACGTATTTTACTTGGTAACATAAATACATCTATCTGTGATAATTGCAACTGTCCAGCTATCACTGTTAATGATATACAGCCTGATGACAGACAGACGAAATTTATAAGGTTACCTTTGAATGGCCTACTTCGATCTTGGCTACTCTATGACATTAAAAATATCTTAGTCAGAGTAGGACAGACAATGAAACAGTTCACGATATATCGAATACCTATCTTTAATAGTTTCTGAGTACAGGGCTAGCATTTGCCATGGTTCGAAAAGTACGCCGTAGGTCGGTAAGTTACATTATTTTATCTTAGTGTATTTCTCTTCTCTATATCCACGTTACCGATTCTTATATCTTAAGTGCTTCAGCTATACAAATTATACTTAGACAATAAATTAGAGTTTGTCCGATATTTGTGCAATTATCAATCTTGAATATGAGAACGGGATATTTAGTGTCTATTTTTTAATTTATAAGTATTTTGAAATTGAACATACGACAATTACATAGGTTCTAAAAATCCAACGATTAAAAAAAATAAAACATAATCTATCTACCTATCATGTAAACCTGATGTCAGTTTATAGTATTGTATGACAATAGTAAACTTTGTAATGATAATAATATATTCTTTATTGCACGCTATTATAGATATTACAGAGATGCTAGTAAAAGAGAGAGAATACAAAGGGCGGCCTTATTGCTACGAAGCAATCTCTTCCAGGTAACACATGGCGGAAAAAACGTAAAGTAAATATCTGAATAACTTAATATGGTTGATAAAATCCTATTATGTATACTTATGAGAATCCGCATTGGGCCATCGTGATGGGTTATGGCCCACCCTCTTTAACCATCCATAAGGAAAGCCTGAGCCTCTGCAATGGGGACGTAAAAGGCCTGATGAAGATGAGGATATGAGTGTGATTTTGCCGATAACAAAAGAAACTCCTTAGGAATGCACTATTTGTCTGAGAATTTTGTATTGACATAGATTCATGTGCAAAGGACAAAAAATCAATCAGTTTACACTAATGATAAAAAAGGTTAATATTATTTATATGTACGTGACTTTATTGCACCATAATTTTTAAAATCATAAATGGATATAAATGTATAGAACATCATTCGAAACTTTTAATCATTCCGAGTATCACAGGCTATAGCTATATATTTTTTAAATGTTCAATATGGCGGCTTAAACGATGTCTTTTAAAAATAAAATCTTGTTTAATTATGACAAAACGGGTATTCCAAAAATATTTAATACATTCAGAAAATATATTATATATTTTATAAAAAATAAAATAAAACAAGCAAAGAAACAAGTTCTAAGATATATTGTATTATGGCTTGGATAAAAAAAATCTTATTGCAGTCTGGACTTAGATTACATATGTTCATAGAACGGTTTCCTAACTGCAATGAGTATTTCGTTTTGCCAAGCCATAATACAATCTATGTCTTTTAATTTCAGTTCGATTATGGCAGTCGTGTTTTATTTACGTACACTGCATGGGATCAAATAATTGGAGCAAAGCAGATTATGTCATGCCGCCCCCAGATATGAAATAAATAAAGATAAATCAAATACACTTATATTATTCTTAAAAAAAAAGAAAACATTTGAGAAAATGTATCCTGCACAAAACAGTTCAGTATAAGTCAAATTGTGAATTTGCATAAAAAATACGTTTTGCCTTTTTCTCTCCCTTGATGTGGTTTTAATATCTTCCGTTGTAGGCGTTCAAAAGATGGAAGCCACAATCACTTTATGAATCGTGGGCCTTTAATTTTCTTTTCATCTTCGTGACCCTTTCGGAATCACGAATGAATGGAACAGTTATAAATGCGGTCATAAAAAAATTGAATTTTTATTTCATTTCTAGGTATGTTGTTTCAATTTAAGATCCTTTTAGATAATGGAAATAATGAAAATATTGTAATTTAAGTACAAAAATAGCATTGCGCACCTGCGGTTGGTGTAATTTTTTACCTAATTATCAATCCTTATTTTTTTAAGTTTTAGGTATGTGGAGTTTGATGAAGCAGATATTAACGTGATATTAAGCAAGTGTCGTAGGATGGGTAACCATTTTTTTAGTTAACTCAGCGGAAATGTATATGCTTTAAAGCATGGCTAGAAGCTGGCCGAGTGGTCAAAAGTTTACTATCTCGAGCTACTCCATGCTTCAGAAGCCTTTGTTAGATCCTGCCTGCTTCTACAGATGTTAAGAAATCCACCAATCGGTATTAGGCCCGGTGGGTCTTGGTCCTCCCTATTATGATTCGGTTCCATCCATAGAATAGGCTGATAATCATGACTATGATTGAGTTCTGTTCAAGTCCTGGTAACATCTGCAATGGTTAACACCGAACCAACCGGCACTGAGTCCATGTCCATCTAATTCCATCCATAGATAAAGCTTGTGTACCTCAGCATATAATAAGCAAAATGCGGGTAGCGCAAAATTGATCGTCTTGGATACTTATGGGGGAAGTCTATGGTCAGCAGTGGGCGTCGTAGGGCTGATGATGATAATGTATACCTCAACAGTGAGGATAAGCTGACGATGGTCTTATTCAAATGAAATTCTCACCAATCTATTTGTTTTTGTCAACAGGTAAAATGAGGACTACACTACCAGTAATCTGCGTGTACTATTTCACATTACTACTGAGTGCTACGTCATCGGTAGGAGACAGAGTATGGCTGAACTCTGTAGTTGAACTGGTGGAAATGGACTACATCGATAACTGTGCAGAAAGAGCGACGTCTACTTGGGAAGAACTGATGGGAATAGAACAGGGTTTCACAAAAAAGGTATCTAAATTTAATGGCGTGTATTCACGTGAACACGTATTAAGAAAAGTCCCTATATTTTTAACCGGTTTAGGATTTTTTACAAAAAGATAATATATTTAATATTGATTTCTTTTATTTGCACGCGCACTATCCATTAAATGAAACAATTTTGAAACAGTTTCATCGGGTTTGCATTTTCTTTTAATGACGTTTCGGATCCTTTACAGGTACTGTGTTCACATAAGACTTTTGTTGATGGTCTTTTTAATTAAGAGTATAGCTACCTTCCATACAATATTATTGGATAAAAATATTTATACTTAATGGAATTTTAAAAATAAAATTGACTTATTTATTTACCCCTGGCTGCCGTAAACTACCACTAGTTCCAAATTTGGGAGTCTTCTCTGAGAAGAACTGGCGAAACAAACTCCAACAAAAAAAAGTAAATTGCTCCCTTTTATTTAATATTTACAGAATTAACTTACTGTTTTTTTTTTTTTTTTGTTTTGGAGGGAGCTTATAACAATACTTACTTTAAGCCGCCGAAGAAGATCAAACAAATCTTAAGACCTGTCAATAAACAATAAAATCTTCTCTCATTATAATTTTATTAGAATCATGATCTCGACGTGTTTCAATCCAGAATCTCTGCCGATTTCTGGTTAGAATCAATTCCAACAGGAAACTTAATATAAAGCAAAAATATAGTCATAAATATGGTGACATAAATATTGCAACGTAATTCGACTGTGACTCTATGATTGTGATTAATGGTCGTACACGGTAAGATTACGAAACATTCGCCTTACCACGCTTCCTTACTATCCCACAGGACACATGACGCAGAGATAAGTAAAAATACTCCAGTTACAACGTTTACGTGACTACAATATAAGTCACATGATATTATGACGAAATACTTTTGGAAAAGCCAATGTTCGTTTCTTGCTATATGAACGATGAAAAAAGAAAAAAACAAACCCATTTTGTTATCGAAAAAATAAGAATGTTTGTGAAAGTTCTACGGTTAGCTTTATCTTTTGAAATATCTGGTAGAGTTGGACTTATTATTAGTCGAAAATTTATTAATAAACAACAGAAATGTCTTTTTATTAAAAATAAATAAATTTTTGTTACTAAATTTTCGCCAATAAACTTAATACTAAAAGATACAAAATTCTATATTATTATTTTTTTATCCCCAAAATTCGTTGGCGTGGATTTTGGAAGCGTGTAGTAGATTGAAATAATTGAAATGGACTTCAAAGTCTACGCTTCGATTCTACTACATATATTGGAAGGGTTGATTACAGAAATAGATACCCTAATGAGTTCTGTGGGGTTAATTGTACAGGCTTTGTATATTTAGGTTGTTTTACTGATCTGTTATTTACACTTAATTTCAAAATTCGTTTACAGCATCTATCCTCCTTAATCTAAAGCGTCATGTTTTGATTAGCTGTACCATTATTTGATAACTTTGATGATTTCGATTTCGGAAATGTGATACTTGAGAATTTGTCTTATAATAACTCAAGTTTCAACCCATGTCAGCTGTTGTTTCATCAGGATTCCATCAAAACCCCCATTAATTCCAAATATAAAAGTTATATTAAAAAAACTGTTGTTAATTATCACAGACAATAAAGATGATTTTTGGGTAAAAAAAAATGTATTTAGTCCGTCAGTCAAACATAGAAAAATATTAAATACGTATTTCTTTTTGGGTCAAATTAACAATTACTATGAAATCACAGTAAAACACACTTAATATTTTAGTTAAAAACTGAAAAAATGATCCTTTAAACTGCTAGTGTTGCTAGGTGTCCCGATTTGCGCAGGACGTTCCCATTTTCAAGGGTCAAAAGATCCGTGCCAATTTGCACCTAATTGGGACGATAAATGTCCCGAAAAATCAAAGACTACTGAATGTACTAAAACCTTGTGAGAATTTTTTTTTTTTTATAAGTCTATCGATATTTGTTCGTGTATTCGTACTATAGCGGGCAGGTAGTAGTGATAGAAGTTGAAGAGATAAGAAAGGGCTCAAAGTTAAGGAAATAATAACTATAATATATACAAACTAAAATGCGCAGCTAACTTACATGACAGCAGAAAGAACCAAGACAAAGAAAAAAGGAGAATAACATGTCAACAAAAATAAAGACATAAAAATATCTCACCGGCCTGCTGGCCAGTTCGTAACACGTACAAAAAGTTACTTTCTTAATTGTGTACCTGCTATTAAATTAGATGCTATTTTATTCGTGGCTCTAAACCAACGTGGACAAAATTAAAAACGTAATATTTCATATCATATTGTTATGTTGCCTTTGTTTTTTTTTAAGCGACTACTAATCGTACGAATTAACATGACACCTGAGGCAATTGATTATATTTGTCGTCGATCAAAAATTCGTAAAATATCAAATGGTTTTTATGATTGTGTTAAAATCATATCTATGAAGATTGTCGGTCAGAGGCAGTGTCAGGTCCTAATTCCGTTCCATTTATTGAAAATTGCGTTTCTTTGGAGTCGTACTATCATTTCGATATTTGATGAAATTTCGTTTTCGGCGAAATAGAATAGGTTGTCAGGTGCCACGTTAATTCGTACGAGTGTTACAAGTGCTACAAGTGGCAATAATGTAATAATCTAGGCTTAATGGATATTTGTCTTACTTTCTGGCGATGCTTGAAAATATATCGTATTTATAGATGAAAATATTTTATAGCCGTCGCTATGATAGATTTTGTCAAAATTTACAATAAATTATGTTTTGAAGCGATATTTGTTCAACAGGCAAATCTTCTGTACTTATTTAGCGGCAATAACGACGTGATAATAAAAGACGAACTGTACCGATATTTTGGAGAGTGTAGTTCTTCTTGCAGTCAGTAGCATTTCGGTGATGTGTAATAAATTTTTCAATATCTTAATCTTCTCTGGCAGAAACTCAGCTCTACACACTTTCAAAGCAGGTTTATCAGATGAAGTGTGCACATGAGAGCCACCAAAATTCTAAACATGACAGAAACTTTGAATAAAATCGCTATTCAATGGATAAAAGGACACGTGTCACGTGGAATTGATATATTTGACGAATTGAAGCTCCATCCTGATAACGACTATCGATTGTCATGGCTATTTCAATAACCACCTTTTCACATTTAGGTGTCACAGACACCTCTCTGTGCAGCAGAAACTGCATGGAGGCTGAAGACTCTCAGGGCCAAGAAACACCATTGTTATCATTGTAATTATATCCATGACAAAGAGTACAGTATATCCATGTCATGATATGAAACCATATCCAATGATTTATTAAATGAAATTCTAAGTTTGGATTTGGACTTGTTTTGGATATACTTTTTATCCCACTGAACTGTTCCCTAGATACCAAAGGGCGAAGCCGCTGACGGAAGCTAGTTATAAATAAAGCCGTTTAAAATTCGTACGATTGGAATTGCTGACAGATTGTTGTGTTCTCGGTTTTGTTACTCAAATAATGTGTGAAAACATAGATTTATTTTATAAAGATGGCTACACTTCAGAACGCCTTGAAATGCTACACGCCACCAGTCACGAAACGCCATTTTGCTTGTAACTAGTGTTGTAAGGTCCGATTTGTTTGAAATCGATACATGAAGTAAAATAAATCGGGACACACAAAAATAAGGTTTTTACCCGACTTCAAAAAATAAGGTTATATATTAGACCCATATTTATCACGTCACATATTCTCAAATACTTCACACTTCGCAATGTACGCAACTTTGTATGCTTTAATTCATTTATATTTGTTTATTTGCATAATTAGAAATATCTTTGATATAAATAATTCTTCTGTACGTTGGACCAATTTCTTAATTTTGTAACCTAAGATTGTATGAATAATTAATTATTTTATTGAAACAGTACCTACTGTTACTTTTGAATAAAAATAAATATAGTAACTCATAAATATTGGAAATCTACTTATTTCAATATTTGTCTTAACAATGTCTGAAAATTTCAATAATTTGCCATTATCTTCACATATTTGTTCCAGTTATGAGTAAGAGTCGCCTCTTTAAATTCGTTCGTGTCTTTTAAATGACCTTCTGGTTAACCTGGTGAGCCGAGTTATTTTTCCCGGTAGCAGGCAAATGTGTTTGTGTAATAATTAAATTGTATCGTAAACAATGGTTTACTATGAAAATGTTTTAATTCCCTATACAAACTTTCACTCCCATTTTTATTTCTTTATTTGCCGTTTTTCATGATAAAATGAAGCCTATATTCATTGCATATGATGTAGCTTCCCGTAGGTGAAAGAATTTTTTAAATCGGTACAGTAGTTGCAGTGCCTTTTCGTTGCAAACAAACATACAAACAATCAAATCTTTCTTCTTTATAATATTAGTATAGACGATCATCACTCCTACCTGACCAATGCCTGGTTTTACCTGGCAAAGCTTTTGTTAATTTATGACGCTAGCTAAATTATATGAAAATACATACACGTTTAATAAATAATCCAGCGAATCCTTTGATTAATTAAAATTTATTTTCCTTACAGCTGGAAAGAGATAAATCTTTCGGTTTGTTCGCGAGCAAAATTCGAGACGAAGTCAAGAGTGCTGTCACTGGACATGCACTGGGACAAGACGATGATATTCTAAGAAGAAAAGTGAAGTTACTGCTGCAACCGGGAGATGTACTTTTAGATACAGAACAATGGATTAAGGTATGGTAAAATCCACACAGAATTTTTGACCAAGGAAAGATAGGAATACAATGAATTACTTTACTTACCTTTATAAAACATTAGAAAGATCTGCCCATCCTCTGCTATGGCTATTCCAGTGTCAATTTCGTGAAAAAAAAAGTATAAGACAGATAAATTAAAATTTACAAAGAAAGAAATTTTGGAGTCAATTAGTTTTGGAGACTGAAAATGTTTTAACATTATTTCTTTCTTAGAAACTAAATGTAATCATTTAAAGTATTTTGTTTTAAGTTTAAGCACTTTTGCAACCCGTTATTGTAACCGAATCTTAAATATTAAATAGTTCAATGGTAATGAAATCGTTTGATTGTTTTTATTACTGTAGATAGCAAAACGTAATTGCACATAAATCTTCGCTTTTATTTATGAGATGGCACGTTGAAGAGCTGCGGGATATATTGCTTTACGTTGTACCTTTCAAAGCGTTAAAGGTATATTCAATAGAAGTCTAGTAAATACCTGAGATGGATTCTTGGAGCGTTTCAGTCTTGTTATTGAGCATTATACGTATGATTCCCCGGGCGATTAATAAATCATTATATGCAAAGACAATGGATTTCGGGGATTTCTAGCGTTTTACTAAATGTATATTTCTTGCTACTTGAATTCAGGAATCTTAAGCAGAAAATTTAAACATTATCATAAAATCAAATTAATAAAAGTTATTGTAGCTCACATGTTTATGTAATAATTATTGTTATTAGATAAAATTTGAACAAGTATTCTATCTTACTACTGTACTATAATCACATTGGCTGTACCAAAATAAAACACCGAATATAATTTTTTGAAAACACTGATTAACCCAGTTTCGAGAGTTTTGTAAATTATTAAAATAGAAAAAATACGAAAGGTAAAAAGAAAAACACGAAAACAAACCCAATCTAAAACAAGCCATTACATAAAAATGAGGCGTATTAAATATATTATTTTGGGACAGCGGCGTGACTGAAGGTAATATTAGAAGAGTTGTTTATCTCATTTGACTTGGGATTGAGAATCGAATCCCGGACCCCAGGGGTTAGTGATACCATGAAATTGGCGTGCAAACCACTCGTGATGGAGGTCGTCAATGCTATTTAATTAAATCGTCCTTTACATCAAGACCTTCGTCATCTGTCATCTCTAAAGTAACTTGTAGAAGGGCTGTATAAACTCCTAGTTACACTTTTGATGATATCATAAGATTCTAATATACAGTACCGAAAAACTGGCATGGTTCGAGATTTGTATTTCGAAATTCAATATTCGTAATTACTCCACACTTTCTTTTTTTCTTTATTTGTAATTTAACTCATATTCTTTATAACCGTTACAATCACCTTTATTAAGTTAGTTCAGTAAAAGTATCGGATAGGTGCAATCTTCTGGTTTGATTTAAAAATTAAGTATAATTTTATAATCTATAAGATTTACTTTGAGAACTATTTATTTCTCACTTGCTGGGTCATATGCCATGACCGTACTTTTAGCCGTCTGTTATTCATAAATTCTATAACATTGTTAATTTTCGTTTGTTCTAGCTTGTTACGTTCGGTGTTACATCCGAACACAACCTGCGGTTTGCATCCAACTATGATTGTGGCAGTAACAACTGCACGCTGAGAGGTTAGTTTCGTCTGACACGTGCTTAATTGGTTTGTTTAGATGTTTACCTATAGCTCAGATTATCATCACCAGCCCTTTTACGTCCCCACTGCAGGGGCTCAGGCCTACCTTATGGATGGTTAAGGAGGATGGGCCATGACCCTCCACGCTGGCCCAATGCGGATTGGAGGGTATTAACGACTGCAAATGCAGCCGGGACCAACGGCTTAACGTGCCTTCCGAAGCACGGAGTAGCTCGACATAATAATTTTTTGGTCACCCATCCCGTGACCGACCCTTGCGAAAGTTGCTTAACGACTATGATCGCGGGCCGCGGCGCTTATCCACTACGCCACCGAGCTACTCAGATGCTTAAGGAATACTTTATTTTATTGGTTTTAATTAGTCGTTAAAGTGGATCTTTAATTATTAACACGTAAAAGGATAATTAGGAGGGTTGCCTTTTAAGATTTTACAAACGACTCTTAGAAGACGCCATTGAAATTTGCCACCACAATATTAAGTCAATAACATCAAAAATCGGTTTTCATTAGTATCACCAATGAAAATCGATTCAATGTAAGATGATTAAAGAAGATCGGTTTGTGATATCGCCGTGTGGTAAAAGAGTCGACTAAATCTATACATACGACAAAATATAGAATGTTAAATTGAACTTGAAGCTGAGCCGCATCTTTTAGGTGATTAAAAATGTATCGAATCCCACAAAAGTAGTTCGTTCATCAAGCACTTCCAACAAAGTCGCATGATTCTTGTTGTCATCTTCAAATTGCATATTGATAATCATCGAATATATGCCTCAATGTCTACTTGATTTACATCCTTATGGCTTTTTTATTTTGGTATGACGAATATTCCAAAATAAGAGTACAAAAATTGTCGCAATAGTAATTGTTACTACCTAATTCTTTTGAAATCGTATAACAATTAAAGGCTGCTATTTTGAAAAGCAATAAAGGAGGTGGTTTTAATAGACAAATAGGTATAAATTTTTGTAAGAAGTTTACCATAGTATTAGAATAACCTACATGGATAATATTATTGTAAATGCTTAGAAAGTATGAGTTTTAAACCTTTTAAAATTGTGTCTAATATATTTTCGGAACGTGAATTTACGCATATTACACAGGTTCGACACGTTTCAGGTCAACGAATTGAAAATTTTGTTTGTTTCTTGAATTGTTCCTAGATGTCTCTTAATGTGAAATAACTAGTGTTGTTAGCAACTATCACTAGCAACTATCGATTGTCTTAATCATTGAAAGACTGAAGTATCTAAACTTTAGTAATAATAAAGTCGCTATTGAATCTTGTTGGTACTGTTGTTAATATCGATCCTGTTTGGCAGGTCCCATAAATTAATTAAATAAGGTACTACTTACCTTTACCTAGGCTGTACAGCCTTAAATCTTCTATCTCTAGATCAGCTATTCTTAAATTACGCTCCGCTGAGCTCCAGGGCTCCTCGAATCATGTGATGGGAAAATATGGTAAATGTGAAAAGGTAGCATAAAAATACCTAAATATTCCTTGTGTGCATTCATTACAATGCATCAGTAGGTATATATTAATTTATTTATAATTAAACAGTGCACATAAAATTTCGGTTCCATCGCTAAAAAGATATGTGAGAGATTAGAGAACCGCTGATCATGTTTTTATTTAGTTTATTTAATGTAAAAAAGTTTTAATCTTGCACGTGTAAAGAGTATTTAATAATATTACAATAACTATTAACATAACATGCAAAGTTAAATTCGTCACTGTTAACCGCTATATCCCAAGCGAATATATGGCTGCTAGGTCTCACTATTACACGCCGCGTATCTATCAAGATTCCATCGAGTCCATCTGTCAACGATAAAAAATTGTAAATTATGATCACTGTATTATTTATTTTTTATTATTAGAGGGCAACGATATCATCCAAGTGATCGTTGTCGTTAAGCAACTTTCGCAAGGGTCGGTCACGGGATGGGTCACCAAAAAATATTATTTAGCTACTCCGTGCTTTGGAAGGCACGATAAGCCGTTGGTCATGGCTGCATTTGCAGTCGTGAATACCCTCCAATCCGCATTGGGCCAGCGTGGAGGGTCATGGCTCATCCTCATTAACCATCCATTAGGAGCCTGAGCCCCTGCAGTGGGGACGTAAAAAGGGCTGATGATGATGAATGATATCTATCATCCATAGTAAAAAATATCGATACGGCTATCGAAGGGTTTGATTGATTCTTAAAGCCTCGATAAATTATCGATATCGAAACGAGTCTGCGTATTATACATGTATTATAGTTTAGATTCAAAGAAAGAACATAATATAAGATATTCAATGACGAATCGGGATTAACTCAATGTAATATGGAAACTTCCTTAAATTGTTTAATCATATGGAATATTGAGTTGCGTTTTTTAGATACACTTGTAGAGTTTATGAAGAAAAAGGTTACATACCTTTTCTCCTTTATCGAGTCTTCTTGTTGACGTTAAAGCAAAATGAATTCTATTGGACAGTATTCAGAGAAGGTTTTCCTTTACTCCAATTCAAACTTGTGGTGAGAATCTTTGTTATCGCAAATGTCTTTACCTAAAAGTTGGTAATATGTAAGGATTAGTAATGATCGTAGTTCAATTTCATACTTTCATAAATTTATTAAGGCACTTAACTAGATATTCTATACATAGTATAAAGGAATGTCGTTTTCCGCTGTCTGAACGCTAAGACCTTTAAAACTACACAACGGATTCTAATACAGTTTTTAGCAATATAAGGAGTCATTCAGGAGTAATATTTTTTGTAAACTACAGGATCATGCGCGAGAAGCCACTAGCTGGAAGTATTATAATAAAAAGATAATATAATGACGAAACCATGCATTCTTTTTACTAGTAATAAAAGAATGCAATGACTTTAAAAGAATATTTTCTCCGTGGGTGGGAATAAAGTAAACATGATAGTAAATTTGCTAATTTAATATATTTGAAAGTAAAATAACATTTGCTCTCTCGGAGTAAATATTTAACGAGAATTCTATCTTTCTTTTCCAAGAATTTTCTGCAATGAGCTAAAAAGCTTACTTCATTCTAGGGAAAGCACCTGTTTACATAGAAACTTACTGGATTAATAAAGATAATAACTTAAATTGATATCAGAGGTGAAGAAAAACTAATTTGATGATACAGATAATTTATTTAGCTGCTTATTGATAAAAAAGCTTATTATAAGGTATCCGATTATATAACAGATAAGAACGCTTGGACTTGAGAAGATCCAGGAATTGGATTGGTGATTACTTCTAAACTCATTATCTTGCTTCCATTATTATTAAATGATTATGTTATCATTATAAGACCATCGTTTTTTTTCTCTCTCTGTTTATAATATATTGATCTGCTAATGACATAGTTTTTGTAAATGTCATTATTCTTATTAGAGCTGGTGAGTTTCTTGCTCGTTCTTCTTATCAACCAAAAGACGTCCTGAACGAGTGGTAGGGAAAAAATGTTGGACGATTCAAAAGTACTTTTAAGAAGTCTATTGTCTTCTTAAAAGTAAGTATGAATTTGTGTCCCATGAGCGGCTAAAAATTTACTATCTCGAGCTCTTGCGTTCTTTGGAAGGCAGGAACGATATCTGATGATACACCTACATTTGAATTGATGTTATTAGTATTGATTATAAAATTTATTTTAACAGAATTTCATATCAGCTACGCTAGACAGCAAGACGAGGCAACTCTACGGCGAATGAAGCAATCCTGGGATAATAACCTGCCCGACATTAATGAGTATCTCGAACAAATTCTTCCCTTGTTAAGGAATTCTTCAAAAGGTCAGTGGAAACTTGTGATAACTTCTAAGTAGATCTTTTGATGAAACACTTGCCTCCGGAAAATGTACCCACCTTTCAGTTTTCATTAGAATCAGGCCTTTAACGAGTTATTTGTTTATAAGATTCAAATAAAGAAATAAAAAGTGTTAAATTACTAAATTTTTCTTACTTATTTACCCTAAATAGGTAAGAATATATAGGTAAGATTAACATTATTGGTTTTCATTTACAAAAATATTGCTTAATAAATATTGCCTCTATTGCTTAATATATAATATTATGTAATTGGCAATATTTTCTATTGCAGTATTTAAATGAATTTGTACAGGTAAATGTAGGAACAATTTGGTAAGGTTTAAATTATTATTTCAGTGAGTATGAATGTCGAATTGTTAATTAGAAGACTAGAAATATCTTAATTAACATAATGTTCAAAATTGTAAGCTTAATAATTATTAGGCATTTAATAATTAGTAATATTTCAAAGTTTAATATAATTACTCTAAAATAATAATTAATATTATTATATATTACTCGTAATTTGCTCTCGTTTAAATGAGAGTTACGATTAGTACAGATCACCACATACTTATGTTCTTTCAATATTAAAGAAGTATCTATATAAAGAATTATCTAAAGAACCAAGTTGAGAAAATCCGAATTTCGCTATTACTATTAAAATTATTTTTTAATTCAATGCTTAAAATTCTTGTGACACCCTCAAGTTACCTGTGCACACAAAGTAGAACTAAGTTTATTCCCGTATTCATGTATGTGTTATCTTATAAGGAAATTCTTTTTCAGACTATAAGACCGTCGAGGAATATTGGGATTCTCTCGTGGAATATGAGGGTGCTATTCTAAAAGCGCGCGAGCTGTGGGATCATGTGAAACCTCTCTACACGAAGCTACATAACTACATTGCTCTCAGATTAAAAGGAGTGGATGCAGTCGGGAAGACTTTGCCGGTTCATTTATTAAGTTAGTAGAAGTGTTAACCTTATTACGCTTCCTCTTTGTAGAATCAGCGGTATTGTATTCTTATTGTTATAATATCTAATTATTGCATAAAAGCGGGTTCTCTTTCCCAAGATACTTCACATTTAATTTGGGTTTATTTTTTAAATAACAATTAATTCAGTTGTTACCAAATATCATAACGTTTTATTAAGTTTTATTTTTGTCGAACTGGCCATTTTGATCTTTAAAATATGTTTTATCTTTATAATTTGCTTCCGAATTCAAAACGAAAAAATACGTTTAAAATTAAATTCCCGTATTTTCAAGGTCAATTACTAATCTTTTTTATCGGTTTAATTACCTAATGTATGTTTATAAAAAAATGTTAAACCTTTTTACATTATAATTGTTTTTCAAGAACATATATAACATCAGAATCATCTAAAATCTATGTGGATTTTGCATCAAACCTCATCTTATCCTAAAAAAATATACTTATATATTTGAAAGTAAGTGACTTCTTTGCATTCCGTCGGATATGTGATTTATTTTAAAATAATGTTACAAAAAAGTATATGATTTCTCAACACACCGTTTTGCTGCAAAGTAATTCCTTTTTTTACTTATAAGGTTACAATTATAATGAGAAATTGAAGTAACTGTAAAATAAGTAAGTTTGTGATCTTTTTAATGCAGAGAAATATAGGACACGACTATACATAATAACACAATTGTACCCTTGTTATTATAGTTTATTAAGATTTATTTCTTTATTCACAATTAATAATCTATATATATAAAAATGAATCGCAAAATGTGTTGGTAAGCGCATAACTCAACAACGCCTCGACCAATTTGGCCAAATCTTTTTTTTGAAGTTCAAGGATGGTTTTTACGGCGAGAATTATTGCTGGAAAAACCCTAAAAATAGCCCTTTTCTTTTTCCCATACAAATGATTTGTAACTAAAACGTAGTCAATTTGAGCTTTATTGCTATGGTATAAAGTTCATATTAAATTACAAGCACTCACTGTTGTCTAAGCAATGTAGGTGTGTTCCTAACGTCAAAGATCATATCTATCAAAACAATGTGCGTGTGTGCGTTGGAGCACAGAATACATAGTTGGAGGAGTTCACAACGCCCTATCACCAGGGTGACGGTTCTGTTCAGGAGATTTTTTTTAAATACGTAGGCAAAAAAACTGCCACATTACAAATCTTTTTGACAGGACGAAGTCTGTCGGGTCAGCTAGTGAATTAATATTTTTGGTTTAGGTTTGGTTTGGGTGGTGTCGCTTTGTTCGCTTAAGTGGATTCATTAATTCTTTCACAGTCGCAAATTGACTGTCGATCTATAACAGAATGAATATTAATGAAGAGATTTGTAATTGATCATTATAAAAGCCGATTATCAACCCAGTGAATGTAATATTCGTCATTATGAATCTAATAGACTTAATCTTTGAACGTTCTAAATTGTCGTCAAATTGATCTTCCATTATTCATGATAGAAATATTAATTTTTCGAACATTAGACTTGGAGATAATTACACAAATATTTATAGTAAGCGAATAAGTAAAAAATATATTTTGTTTTCATAATACACTACGCTAATAATCAACAATACACTAATCTCAAAAAGACTAAGTTTATATACTACACTACATTTTTTATTCTTAAGTTTATAGCACGCTTAAGTGGCACAGCTCAAACTCAGCGATTAATGTTTCATTTTAATTTGACAATAATATATTTAGACAACAAGGCAACTTCAAGTATCCGCCGCAAACGGCGACCCTCCCTCCAGGCGTCAGCTAGCGAAAACCCATCGCATAGTCGCCGCTAGCAATAGCTCGCAACTAGTGGTATGCGAGTTTACACCTTGCGGGCTGTATGTTACTGCTGTGCTGTTTTAATATGCTATGAGCATAAGGCGCTACTGATTTTGGGTCAGCTAGTTTTCTATAAAAATTAATTGGAAACACTATACGTTAATCGCAATAAAATGGTATACCAGAGGCGTAAACTATTCGAATTGCGATACCCCTGAGAGTATCGGCATCCACCCGAACCGTTTTATTGTACCCTGAACTGCCCACACAATATCCGATCCTAATTTTCTTATGTACCAATAAAATCAGAAGATATGAGTTCATAACCTTGTCCTGAGAAAGAAATATGTGAACTATTTATTGGCAACGAAATTGTTTTTGGCTATTTCATGTTTACAGCTATTTATATCTTCATAGTTGGAATCTTTTTGGTTTAGCAGTAATTAGTGTTGTTAATTAACAGGTTTTCTTGTTTTAAATATACCTTATTAATTTAAAGTACGAGAAAACGCTATGAATGTTTTATTCAGCTTTAAGTCAAACCACAAATAAATAATAATTTTCAATTTCATTTGTATCTTATACATAACTTCAAACTTTGACTTTAACTGTGTTTATTAATATGTTTTATCTTATTAGTATATTTGTTAATATTACGTTTCATGTAACTTCTATAAATTAATTAACTTATATAGAAAAAAGTTTCTAGTTTAAAATATTTTATTTGTTTTTTTTTCATCATTATAATACCTATTTTTTTAAAAGACTACTTATTATTGTTTCAGGATCTTTGAACGGAGACGATTGGTCTAATATTATAGAAAGTTTACTGCCAAAACACCCGGCGGTTTACCAGAAAGTGCATGCAAATCTTGAATTAATGGTGATTATTAAGTTTCTATAAAGCATAAGATACATTTAGGTAAAGTGTACAAATCAAGTATTAGCTGTGGGAGAGCCACGCTTCGACATGAACGGGCCGGCTCGACCGGAGTGATACCACGGCCTCACAGAAAACCGACGTGAAGCAACGCTTGCGTTGTGTTTCGTCGTGTGAGTGTGGGTACCGGAGGCCCAACCCCTCCCTATTCCCTTCCCTCTACCCCTCAACCCTTTGCTCCCTATGATCATATTCGTCCCTCAAAGGCCGGCAGAGCGCTTGTAGCCCCTCTGATGTTGCAGGTGTTCATGGGCGACGGTAATCACTTACCATCAGGTGATCCGTCTGTTCGTCTGCCCCCTATCCCATAAAGAAAAAGTGAGCGTCCACTGTGTCCGTAAGCACGCAACAGATGCACAGTACGCAACATATTCTATAGCTTTTATGAAGCATTCCATTCACTATAATGTACCGGTCGCACCGACCGTACGTATTTGTAAGCAAGAGAATGCGATGCATATCGATGACGTACTTGGCAGCATTATCTCATAACTGTCAAATGGTACAGTAAACGGCAAATCTGTATCGGTTGCGAACTGTGCGGTCGTTGCCCGCATGCGGACACAATTGACGTTCACCATAAGTGATGGACGCTTTGTAAGTTATTTCTTGAAATAAAAAAAAATAAATGAATTTTTATAACAGTTTGTTTCTGTATAAAAAAAATTAGGGAGCATTAGCCCCAATCCAAAAGATTCTCAAAGAAATGAAACAAAAAAAAAATAATCTGTGAATCTATTTTTTTAAAACTACTTAATTTTTAAATATGAAAGTTGAAATTACTGAAACTGAACCATCAGACACTGGACGCGACACCCGAGTGTTGAACTGAATAATTTACTAATCTGAATCGCATTTTTTATTGATTAATATCTTAATATTTTTTGCATAATGCAATACAAGGAAAAATAAGTAAATTTAGTCTCCGTTGTAATGCTACTCCCTCCTCCTATTGATAGGCCACCCTTCACGCTGGCCCAATGCAGATTGGAGGGTATTAACGACTGCAAATGCACTCAGGTCCGGCGGCTTAGTGAGTAGCTCGAAATAATATTTTTGGTGACCCATCCCGTGACCGACTCTTGCGTAAATTACTTAACGACAATGCTCATGGACCGCAGTATTTATCTACTCCGCCACCGAGCTACTCGAATAAATATATAATTGTAATCAATTACAGAACCTTGGTGGGTCGAACGCTTTCAAATCAGCGGCGAACCTCATAAACGATCTAAAATTGGGTGAGATCAGACCAGAAGTGTTATCTGAGTCAGTTTTCAACAGCAGTTGTCCACCAAAACTAGTAGATTGGTGCAAACCGAATAAAGTCCGAGTTGTGTCTTGCAAAGATGTCAGCATAGGAAACTATTTGGACGCCCACGAGGCAACAATGAAGATATTGTACAAACAGTCAACAGCTATGTATAGTAACAATACCTACATACTAAGAGAAGCTCCACGTTATTCAGGTAAGTCAATCATCTGAAATTAATAGGATTTAATTCGATTTTACTTAGATATTTTCTGTTAATCTGTCTGTCATGCCACAGTAGTTAATTTTGCACAATCTTCATAGCTCAATGAAGGTTTTTACTTCCTCTAATCCAATTAAGCTTTGTTGCTTTTCATATTGAACTTCTAATATCTCAGTTTCTTTTATTACTCTCTCTAATATGCAATTCCATTAATAACTTTCCTTATTTATTATTATTGAATCTAATTTTACTGTTTTTGTAGTTTTAATCAGTTAATTTTAAAAAAGAATCTGATCTTCATTAAATTAAAAAATCGCTAGCTAGCTAATATAGAGTAATTTGACCCATCACAAATAATACAAGTATAATAATATGCTTATAATTCAGTATTTGGTTCGATTTACCGGTCATGTCGATGTACAGAATTAATTTTCACTATTTTCTCGGTTAAGCGTATGTATTCTGATGTTGTGGTACCTTAATTACCTCGAATTTCAGTACCTAATGCTATTTCATTTGAGATGAAAATTTGTTTTGTCTACATTTTACGTCTTTATAGGCAGGTTATGACTTTATGTCTTAATAGGCAGGATATGACTTATGAATATTTGTTTTTTTATTAAAGCAAGCAATTAGGTATTTTTAATCTAATAAGACATATTATGCTGACTTTTTTTATATTAATATTTTTTTATTTATTAACTAACATGTTTATAAATATTTTTTTCTTCTCTCTTTGTAATGTAAAGTTAAAGAAGAGAGACAAAAAAATTATTTACAGCAACGAATAAAATAGTTTTATATACCGTTGTCACAGATGACATTTCTCAAAGTAACATCATAATATTTAAAGCAGTCAGACTTTTAGATAATATTTAAACTATAAGATCATATGTAGCTCATTTTGCCATTTTACCAAGAATATTAAATTACATACTTAGAAAGAGATTGATGTGCGCTTTATAAAATATAGGCTTTCAATTTTCGATACCTATTGAAATGGAGGGTGAGTAAATCAGGCATACATTCTCAAAGGTTTCATTCGTCTCTTAGTCGTATTTATCGTGTGGCATATCTAAAATCGTATTACTTTTACTTTGTTTGTGCTTGTAAGCATTTTCGGTTCTCTTTTGTCTGATTCTATAAAGAATACCTTAAAACGTTTTAAGTATATTTATGGAATGAGTATTGAAGAAGATCGAGGTCAGGCTCAGAACACACCGTCATAGCCTTATATTTGGTTCTCATTGTAGTTTTACATTTGTTTTGTATTCTAAATATGTGAATGACGTTTACTTTTAAACCGAGAATTTGATTTAAGGCAACCATACAACCTAAAAAGAGTTTTTATTTTCAGCTATATATGAAGCCATTCCTGGATTTGTCTCTTTACTTGCTTTGAGTCCATATGCCATAGATAAAAACAGATTATTCCCAGTGGATCTATTTAATCTTAACGGAAACCATCATCGTATGATTTTGCAACTAATTTTGGCGTTACGAGATTTACCAAAGTAAGTATTGTTCATTTAAATGTAATTGTTTGCTGTATTATATTATTACTAATTTTTCGCGTGGTTTCTTGGAAACCGTTTAGTGGGATAAAAAGTAACCTAGAACCTATTTCATCAAAATCCAATCTGTAGTTTTGCGTGAAAGAGTAACACATAAATTCATAAATTCTCACAATCTATCGCAATTATAATATTAGTAGGATACATGATGTTTGGTAGACTAAAACATCTGATGAGATTATGACGTTTGCACGAAACTTGTGCAATATAGTAATTGGTGTCTTTTTTTTATTTTTAAGATATTGTATTGATACAGTTTAAGAATTTTAATCGGAGTTTACACCCAATATCTCAAAACGCTAGGTAGAATTCATTGGAAATTACTATCTTTATTTAATTTTAATGTATATAGTTCATCTACCAGATACTTGTATACATAAATTTATATTCGAAATTTGGTTTAAGAATAAAATGGTTTATTTGTTCATTATTTATTTACTTAGATCTACAAAAATATTATAAGAAAGCAAATAATACAGATATTTATCTATGATAAATAATTGTAATGATTGAATTTATTTTCAGATTAAATTTTTATTTAGCGGCCGACGAATGGAGATTAAAAGTTCTAACGGGTAAAACATCTACATCTACTTGGAAAGAATTCCGTGAAAAATTTTCGATGTTAGAGACATCAGATAGAGATTTACTCTCTGATCCGTATGTGCTATTAAACAAGCCTTTTGTAGGGTAAGAATAAGATAAATCATTTTTTTTTCTAAATTTCCCAGAAAAGAGTTTAAGCATTTTTGTGAACTTTACAGAAAATTTATGGGTCTTATCTTGAAATATCAAATATACCAATCATTTGCGGAAGAGCTTGAATCGGATGACGCAGATCTACTGGCTCATGTAGCTGCCTATCATGATCGTCTAAGGTATGTGTGATAATTAATTAAAACAAGTCAATTGTTAGCTGGACTCACTGCAAAGTAAAACAATAACTTTTACCACTAAAGCTTAGGCAGTTATAATTCAACAGGTAAAATTATGACGTCTTCTGCGAAATGATAATTCATTATTATTTGCTTAACCGGTACATTAACATGTTTGTTATTTTGGAAGTCAGTTGGTTGCAACCGATATATATTATTTCATGGCTTCAAGAGTTATAGTTTTAATTTTCGATATATTCTTAATAAACAGAAAAATAGGTACGGAGGCCTAAAAATGTCTATCACTAAATGAATTGTATAACTAAGTATCTAATTATTGATAACTTTTCCCACAGCGACACCATGATGCAAGGATACAGTATACAGTGGCCAGAGTTAGTGAGCGATTTGTTAGCAAAAAGAGAAAATGGTCTAGAGTATACAGGTCTAACTGACTATTATCGTCTCCTAGATGAATATTTGGATTTGCAATTGGATCCAACAAATGAGGTTGAAGATGATTATGTTGAACCTGATGCAGATGAAACTCCAACTGAAAATCAAGATATTGAATTTAATATGGACAACGATGTTCAAGTTGATGAGCCATACGAGGAAACGCCCTTAGCTAATCATATTGATACAGAGGATAGACCTAAATTCGGTATTGAAACGTCAACAGTAGCCGTATTGGAAATAAAGAATCCTATTGAAGCTGGGGACCAGAAAAGTGACGCCGATATTAAAGAAGCGTCATACAATGTATATTGGTGGATAGGAATAGGCGTCGCTTTAGCTGTGGTTGTTATAATAATAGCAATAATTGCAAGGAAACGTCACAATCACAGAAAACAACTGGAGAGACAAAGAGAAAACTCACATGCCTGATTCGAGGAGTATCGGTTCTAGGAACCGATTTATATAGACTACAGTTTCGTGTACTTGTGCCAATACTATATTAAAAAAGTGGGGACTCGTAAATATATTTCCGAGATGTGGCTGAAAGAGTTTAGTGCGTTATCCCAAAAGCGTAAACTACTTTTTATGCATGTGTTTTATTATTTATGTCGTATTAGGTGGTGCTGAAGGTCAATGATTTTAATAATTAATTTTCATTACATTTCCTTTATTTAATTGTAATCATCATTTGAATATAGTTGTTTTATAAAGTAAATTTCTATTTATAATGTAAAGCTAGATAGCAAAGATGGAAATAAATATTTTTGTACATATCACGATTTGAAAGATAGTTATTAACAACTGATTGTTACCAAGAGTGTCTATAATAGTTTTAAAATGTAATTTATAGTTAGACGTAATTTCGCCGTGCCTTAAGTGTCTCAATTTCTAATAATTAAGACCTATTAGTACGAAAGAGACAACGTTTGTAAGAAAAGATTACTATGTAATTTTATAAATTCTCTATTTACTCTGCCGTAAATATAGTAATTCCTTTCTATGTATATCTTTATCTAAATGCCTTTATGTTTTTCTATTCTCATGACTTTTATATATTTCGAAAAATGTATTGCAATAATCGTGTTAAGGGTATTTTTATTTGATGTCGTTTGTAGTTTAATGAATATTTGTTTCTTTTTTAATTAAATCACAAGATTTACATTTATAAAGTGTGAACTAGTGAGCGTTATGTCAAAAATTGAAGGCAGGAATAAATGTTTCAAACATACTTTTAGCCACTTGTTTCATTTTTGTCCACTTATGTATAGTATACACTGTTGCAAATCAGCATTCTAACAGAGTTGACTTTATTTGAGTCAAGATTTTTTTACTGTGGTTAAAGGAAATGGATTATATTGGTTTAATATGTTACCTATATCTAACTCCAGATAAATTTAGAATACGTGTATACATCATTAAATAAATAAAAACACGTATATATCATCAAATATGGATAATGAATAGTACATTGAAGAGCATAAATGTAAAAGAGTGTCTATAATAGTTTATTATCATTATTATTATAGACAATACTGAAATATCAAAATCTTTACGATGTGATATTTCCGAAATATCAAAATATGTACAAAAAAGCAGCAACGGCTTCTCCAATATAACTCAAAACATTAGAAGTGTATACACCAATCTCGATGATCTCCAAATGAAGTTGAATCAACTAAATTTTGACATTGACTTACAAATTTTTGACTGAATGTCAGTTAAATTGTGAGAAACCCATTTCTTTTTTGTTAGCTTTAACATATTTAGCTTAGTATATAACATAAATCAGAACGATGGGATCGTAGTGTGCATTTAAAATATCTATATATTACGGAAATTAATCTCCAACATTCCTCTTGCCTAAAAATTACTTACCAGAATCTTACAATATTAGGAATATACCGTTCTCCTTCTAATGTGCATGTAAAATGCAGATAACTTTATGGAGTCACTCAATTCTCACTTAGAAATTTTAAAGACGCATAAAAATATTTTAATAACAAGAGAATTAAATATTTCAGATTCCCAAAACTAATGAAAATACTCAGGAACGAAATAGTCGTATAAACTATTTGAACACGCTCTCGAGGGATGAGATCCTCCCAGGTTTCTTTTACCTTCTAGAAATACATTTTGTCTTGATCACTATATAGTTTAACTTGACAATAATAAAAAAACCTCGTTTGTTGATAATACATCTATTACGGATGTAATCCGATCACCTTGGTATGTAATGTTTTAGAAAGTAAATACACATATCAAAATTTGTAGTGTTTTTATTTTTGTCCATCGCAAATCAAACGTCTTTTACAGAACATCTTAATTATATATACTAACTAGTAACATGTATCGTCACTCCACAGATTATAATGATACTGTTAAGAAGACTGGCCACTTACCTCTTTTCTCCTTAGCCGGACCTGCACGTTCCCTCAGGACAACGGTCAAGGCGCTGAGTGACCACACGAAATTATCCTAGGTCACTGTTTCAATCTTCCTCCTTGTGTTTTTCACACCGAAAACGCTTAGTAAAGCGGGAAATGTTCCTTTCGAATTTTATGAAATTCGACGCAAGTAATGAACGAAATTATTGTTAAGAAAAATCACATATGCAGCCGCACGTAACACGTTGAAAAGCGCAATGTCTTGAACTTCGTTTTGTTTGAAAAAAAAGGGCGGTTATGCTTGTGGCGCCTCCCTGGTATTGAGCGGCGGACTTAGGAACTAATTAAGAATGAGTGGCCAGATATAATGAAGTAATCAATCCTAAATAATTTTGAAACGGAATTGTGCTTATCATACCAAAAAAAAAAGAAAAATAAACAAACATATATTATATGCGAAAACTGCTTCACTACGGAACATGCCGCTCACCTTAAAAGAACCAGGTTCTTTTAACGAGAAATATATCTACTCAAAAACTGACACTTTACCGAGTTATATTATTTTGATTTGAAATTATTATAAATTGAAACTTAATATTGATAACTTACATACTAACGAACCAATTTTTATGAAAGAATACTATTCATTTGGTAAAGGACAAATTTTTACCACTGGACGCTTGAAATAAGACTGCCCCCTCTGCAAAGTCACCACACGGGTAACGCCATCTGTTCCAGGGTGTAACTTATACACTCGCGCTAATTTCCATAATAGTGGAGGCAAGTTGTCATCACGAATCACAACAATCATACCTTCACTGATTGGAGTACCGCGATCACGGAACCATTTGTTACGTTGTTGAAGTTCATGAAGATATTCCAAACTCCAGCGCTTCCAAAAACTTTGAACACATTGTTGTATCCATCGCCATCTAGTCAAGCGGTTCGGATTTGAGTCGATTAATGAAACATCCGGTAGGGTCGTTAGTGGCCCGCCTATTAAGAAATGCGCCGGTGTTAGCGGCAACGGATCTGCCGAGTCCGAACTAAGAACGCAAAGCGGACGTGAGTTAAGCACGGCCTCGATCTGACACAAAAGAGTATGAATTTCATCATATGTTTGAGTTTGTGTACCTACTACGCGATGAAGATGATGTTTAAAGCTTTTAACACCAGCTTCGAAAAGACCACCGAAATGAGATGCATACGGAGGTTGAAAATGCCATGTAATCCCTTGTTCCAGTACACTAGAGTTTAAATTTGCTTGCACTTTATCATTATGTAAAAAATTATACAAATCTTTTAAATAATTATTGCAACCTACAAAGTTTTTACCACAGTCCGAATATATATCCGTACACAAACCTAAACTATGTAAATTAACGAAACTATGTTTTTTAGGTAAAATTAATTGATGTTTAGACTCATACGGTAACAATGATTTATGAAGACGTCCTCCGACTCGTAACAACTTATTATTATCTAAGAACGGATTTAACCTGCGTAACTGATTTGAAGGTGGTTTACCGTTTGAAATATTTTTTATGTCATCGCAAAAAACAAAATTTTGTATTATCGAAATAAGACGATTTAGACAGAAATTATATTCTGAACATGTTATAAACTTTAAATTCACTGTATTTATCTTTTTTAATTTGTTATAGAAACGAAAAATGTAAGCCGTGACTCGCACAAGTTTACCTAAAGAAGAATACTTGTCGAACATATCAAATTCTGCGCCTTGGGATGAAATCGGAATAGCCATAACGGATTTTAATAAATTACGTTTTTCTAGATTTGTTTTAGTTATTTCTTTTTGCAAAGGCCATTGATCGGTACTTTGAGAAAGCCATTCGGGCCCATGTAGCCACATACGCTGTTTAAGAAAGGCAGACGGTAATAGCCCACGCGAAGGCGCATCTGCTGGGTTATCCATGGAAATGACGTGATTCCAACAACTAGCTGGAACACGATACAAAATCTCACTAGTCCGATTTGAAACGAACGTCTTCCACTCATACGGTGGAGAGCGTAACCATGACAACATAATAGTGGAGTCAGTCCAAGCGTAAATATTTTCATTATTAATGAAATTTTTATATACTTTTAACACATGTTCAATAAGCTTTGACAAAAGCATACCTCCCATCAACTCTAGGCGAGGAATAGATAAACACGGTGAAATAGGTGCGACACGTGTTTTAGCTAACAATAAAAAGGTTTGAATACTGTCTTCATGTGCAACACGAACATAAACACAAGCAGCGTATGCCTTTTCAGACGCATCAGAAAAACCATGAATTTGAATAGAACCTTCCATGGGAACTATGAACCGCGGAATCGAAAATTGTGATAACAAAGGAAGCTCTTTAATGAAACAAGACCACGCGTCAAAAATATGTATCGGTACGGGTTCGTCCCACGACACGCCTGAAATCCATAATAACTGAATTAAATGTTTTGCATATAACGTAATTGGAGATAACCACCCCATGGGATCATATATTTTCGCAATTTCAGATAATATCGTTCGTTTAGTGATTTTATCAGATGAAATACAGATACTGAAATTGAAAGTGTCTAAATTAGGGTTCCACTGAAGCCCTAAGACCTTAGTTCCTTTATCGTCCTCCATAACAGAAAAGGACACATTTTCCAACCGCTCACCATGAGACACTGAGGGAACCTCACCAGATTGAAATGAAGTTTGAACGGCTGCTAATAATTCAGGTGAGTTACTGTGCCACTTTCGTAACTCGAAGCCGGCGGAATGACAAATACCTATTAATTCCTTTTGTAGGGCTAATGCCGAATTTACATCCTGCTCACACGAAACTATGTCGTCGACGAAAACTTGATTTAATAGCGCTGTCGACGCAGAAGGAAAATTAACTGCCTCGTCATGGGCGAGCTGCTTCATAGTCCTCAGTGCTAAATATGGAGAAGAACTAACACCGAAAGTTACCGTACGCAGACGGTAATCACGAACCGGTTCATTGAGAGAGGACCGCCACAAAATGCGTTGAAAATCGCGATCGGATTCTCGCACCAATATATTTCTATACATTTGTTTTATATCAGCCGTAAATGCAACGGCGTGAAGACGGAATCTTAGTAAAATATCAATGATGTCTTGATGTAACTTAGGCCCTATTAAAAGTAGGTCATTTAATGACATCCCGTTAGATGATCTACAACCCGCATCAAAAACTACCCTAGTTTTAGTGGTTTCACTTGCATGTTTTACCACACAGTGGTGAGGAATATAATACACTTTATTTGTGCCAGAAAAATCTTCTACCGGTTCCATGTGGTTGAGCTCAATATATTCATGGAGACAAGCATGGTAGTCAGCCTTTAGCTGATGATCACGGTCCAAGCGGCGCTCGACCTTGAGAAGCCGCGCGAGAGCAGTATCACGTGACTCACCGAGTTGAGAGGCATCGAGTTTAAACGGAAGAGCGACAACGTATCGACCATTTTCGTCACGTGAAACTGTTGATTCGAATATAGATTCGCAATAATTTTCATCTGGAGTAAAAGATCTCTCTTCCGGAAGAGACTCCAATTCCCAAAATTTTTGAAGATTGTTATCTTCGAAAACGGAACTACAACAAACGTGAATCGAAGCCGGAACACTAGGTTCGAAAGAAATTTTCCCAAATAATAAATAACCAAACACGCTGTTCATAGCGGTCGGCGAACCCTCCAGCCCCGGTACAATATCACCTAACAGTAATTGAGGTAAAATATCTGCTCCCAAAATCATCTCCACCGGCCGTGGAGTGTGAAAACACGGATCTGCTAA